ATGTTATGGGGAACTTGTAATACAAAACTTTAAGTAGAATAACATACCTTTCTTTTGTGGTTGATTGCTTGGAGTTTTAGAGCCTAGCACCAATAGTGTGGATGCCTCAAGTGGTGTCACAAATCACCCAAAACAACTTGGAAATACTTGAGAGAATATGATGCTTGCTAAAATCGGCCCACCCTTGTTTCTCACACACTTTAGTGCCAATTCTAGAACCAAGGCCCTCTTTATATACTATGGAGGATTAGGGTTACACCCTAATACCCATGACTCTTCATTTACCTAGGATCCATGGGTTAAAAGCTCCATAGACTATCCATGGACTTCCATATACTCTTAGCCCATCCTAAGTAAATCTTAGCCTATTCCATATATATGCAAGAGTCCATACTTAATTAGTTCCATTTAATCATTGAATTAATTCCATAAATCAAATCTTGATCAACACTAATTAAATAATATTAATATATTATAACAAATAATATATTAATGGATCATAAACATCTTATTCTCAAAAGTATATCCATACAAATTGTTAGGTGAAGTGCAACCCAAATGGACCATGCCGGGTCGGGTCAAGTCATACCAAATATAGTTACGGACTTAGACACCTTATCCAACAGTTAATTCATTTGTTATGAATTTGTTATTTTGGTAGTTTGTTAAATTATTAAAGACTTGATTGATTTGATAGTTTGGTAGTTTGTTAAATTGTTAATGACTTAATGTGCTTGTGATTTAATTTTTAAGTAATAATAATTTGTTTTTTTAGTTTGATATTTGAACTTATATACTTACGTTGTAGGATGTGGATGTTAATGATTTTCTCCAAAAACCTGGTGTTTAACGACATGTGGAGATATTATCTGCTCGTTTAATAACCAAGTCAACAATGCGGACAACAACGACAAGGAAAACAACGAAGGATGGTGTAACGACAATTGAAGACGCCTAGTATTTCTTGTTTTATGTTATGGATGATGTTATTATGGATTTATTATATAGTTTATGGATGGTTTAATGTCCATAAAATATCAGCCAATTTAAAACTTTTTAAAGCATTTAAAAACCATTCAGTTATTACAATTTGTTTTCAAAATAGTCTAACATCAGAGTTCCCAGAAATCATAATCATAAATCGAGGAAGTGTACGGTCACGCCTTCGCCTTCCCGCGGTCATCCGTTGTACCTGAAACAATAATCGATAAATGTAAGCTCGAAGGCTTAGTGAATTACCCCCAAAATACCCATACACACAACAATACACATACAGTAACGAACAACATACTATGGGTCCAATCATCCATCGGGATGGAATACCCCAGGCCCTCAACCATCGGGTTGGAATGCCCACATACTACGAGTCCAATCATCCTCGTGATGGAATACTATCGGCCCACAACCATCGGGTTGGAATTCCCACACACACAATACATATACAACAGATACTATGGGTCCAATCATCTATCGGGATGGAATACTCCAGGCCCTCAACCATCGGGTTGGAATACCAACATACTATGGGTCCAATCAACCATCGGGTTGGAATACCCCAAGCCCTCAACCATCATGTTGGAATGCCAACATACTATGGGTCCAATCAACCATCGGGTTGGAATACCCCAAGCCCTCAACCATCGGGTTGGAATGCCAACATAACTAATCAAACATGTGCACCTATATCAGATAATCATATAACAGTCTATAAAGACAACATACTAGGGTCCTATCATCCTCGGGATGGAATACCCTCAACTACCAATCAATCATGTGTACATATAACAGGTAATCTCCTACCAACATACAGACAGTCAAACCAAACTATAGGTCACTAAGCATAACCACATCCGATCTGCCAGGATACCGATCTAACAGAACATACCAGCATATAACCATCCTATCAATTAGGATACCGATCTAATAGATCATACTAGCATATAACCATCCTATCTACTAGGATACCGATCTAACATATCACAACAGTAATAGTCCCAATAACAAAACAAAGGGCCGGCCTTGGTGCCTTAGACCCTTGAGTATAGTGAGGATAACTCACCTCGCAATGCCGATCTGAACTGAAGAATCGAACTCCCGAATCGCTGCCTCACCAAAAATCCCGAACTTCTGGAGCTTCTAGGGCACAAACCAACTTCTAAAACCCTAATTTCGCCGCTAATACCTCCATGCCGCTGCTAATAAGCGTCGCCGCTAAAGGTCATCACAGATATACCCCTCTTCCTCCACTACTTTCTGTATTCTGTTTCTTTCACCATAGGTATTGCTGACGACTGATACCGAAGCAAAATCACCGACGACGCAGCCTCTATCACCGACGACAACAACAGCGCCATCACCGGCGACGGAAGCCTCATCACCGACAACGGGTGATTCGCAACTTTTAGTGGTGATTCCTGATTTTTTTCCCGATTTCTTTTCTATCCACTAATTATCAAAGTAATTAACTAATGATTTGGGTGTTTGATTTTGTGTATTAAGCTTTGTTGACCTCTAATTTTGGGTTGTCATCACCACCACCAAAGCCACTAGTTTTTTTTGGCACCACAAAACCACCACCATTTTGATTTCATTCCACCACAGGTTCTATTCCATTTCATGAAGTATTCTAATCTAGTTCTTCATGTTGTATGCATTATTTATGTATGTAATGTGTTTGATGTATGGAAAAAAATTGTAGAAGAATATGTGTACGGAAAAAATTGAAAAAAAAGTAGGATGCAATAATGGAAAAAATGAAAAAAAAGTCTGGTGCTATAATGTGTATTTGTTGGTAGTTGTTGGTTTAGTAATAGAAATGTTGGTAACTGTTAGTTTGATAATAGTTTATATGTTGGTAATTGTTAGTTTGGTTATAGTTTGATATATTGGTATTTTGTAGTTTGGTAATTGTTGATTTATGAAAATACAATGCTATAATGTTTTATATGCAATATGTGGAGTTTGGTAATTATTAGTTTATGAAAGTACAAAGCTCTAATGGTATTTTGTAGTTTGGTAATTGTTAGTTATATTACAATTCTATAATGTGTTATATGAAATATATGTAATTTGGTAATTATTAGTTTATGAAAGTACAATGCTATAACAGTATTTTGTAGGTTGGTAATTGTTAGTTATAATACAATGCTATAACGTGTTATATGCAATATGTGTAATTTGGTAATTGTTAGTATACTAAAGTACAATGCTATAATGATATTTTGTAGTTTGGTAATTGTTAATTATTGTACAATGCTATATTTTATATTTTGTATGTGGAATGTATATTTTGTATATATAATGTTATAATGTTGGTTTAACTTATAAGACTGTTGTTTTCTTTGTAGTTAGAAATGCTTCAAACAATGTTAAAAGATCCGGCTTGTAGTGCCGCACTTGAAGATTGGTTTCGTTCGTTGCCACAACAAAATGAAACTGAAGGAAACGAGGAGAGCGATGATGACGAGTAGCTAGTTGTAGGATTTTTGTATGTTTTGTTTGTGTAAGTATTTTAGACTAGTATTTTCGATATTTTGTATTATGTTAAATTGGATGAGTATTTTGAACGAATGTTGGATTAATATTTTGAAATCGAAGCATGTAGGATTAGATTAATTAATATCATAACAATTTTTATACTCTTTATACTTTTTTTTCAATTTTAATGTGAAATAATAAAAAAAAATACCAATACCGGCGACGCCTTTAGTGGCGACAATTTGTTATTAGGGACGGCACGACTTTAGCGGCGACGCCCGCTTATTAGTGATTATTAGTGATGACTTTAGCGGCGACGCCCGCTTAGCGGCGACATTTTGATTATTAGTGACAAAACATCAGCGGCGGGCTTTTAACGATGACGCGTCGCTGCTAATAGTATTAGCGGCGACAAACGCTACTTTTAGCGATGACGCATGTTGCCGGTAATACTCTGATTTTTGTAGTGCAAATCCTTTCACCGCAAAGCGTTGGTGCTTCACTTAGTGCTATTGAGAGCGAAGACAAGTTCCATTTCAGTTTATAAATGTAATTTTTAACTTATATAATCGAGATTTTGGAAATAAGAACCTTATTCAGTTAATTATAAATAGTATAATACGGAATCTTGAAGCTACCAATTTCCATGTTATTTATGTATGCATAATTGCATATGTATGAGTGAATACATTATTGTATAATCAAATGTAAGGAATCCCTTTTTATTTCAAAATGTAATCAATATTTTTTGTTTCAAAGTAAAAGTTAATTTTTGACTTGAAATAGAAAGAATAAAAAAATAAAAGTTCAACCTTTTAACCAAAGAGCCTGAATCATTTGGGTGCCTCTTAATTATTCAAAGCTAAATAATGCAAAGATTACCCCCTTATAGATTTATATATATTCGTAGTTGATTGTTATTATTGATGAATTATTGTGTGGTAGATTTTGTATTTGCATTGACTATATTTGCTGGTGATCTTTTAAGAAAACTAAATTAACACCGAAATTTTTAAAGACATGTCTATACTCTAACACAAATTATAAAGTATTGATGACCATCTGAAACTTTGCTACCAATCATTGGTGCTATATATCTGCTGAGTGTGTACGTCGCTTAGTGTGTCTAACAATTCAAATACACAAGAAATACGAAAAAAAAAACAATAACCAAACAAAGAAGCTTTGACAATCCCAGTGCATACTCCAAGATTGTGAAATCGACACTTCAATTTTCATGTAAAAAAACATACCAAATGCAAGCATATTAGGCAATTCAGATCTTTCATCTTTCTTTATATATAATATATTACCAGTACTGCCCTGCCATGCAAAGGTGTAGTGATATAACATAAACCCACCACTTATTTTTAAACCCTAGCTCTGAACCTAACCATAGGCTACCCTAACCGCTTTTCATCTTAATTTCAGTACTTCTATATCAAAACCAGTAACAGGATCGGTTTTAGCTTGTGAGTTCTTGTCTTTAACTTGCAACAAAGATAACAGAAGTCAACATTAGACTAGGGATTGGTGGTGCTGGACCGATCGTCTCCTCTGAGATCGGCGGTGGTGGTGGTAACCGGAAAGAGCTGTAGGGTTTTGGGCGGTACTCTTGTGCAATATGGAGTTGTACCATGATTCATCATCATCATCATAGTCATAAGTGGGTAATTACACATGAGGTTGCAGGTTTGATCAGATTGGAAATCCTCCTTCGCATTGTTTACAATCGTTCTACAGATTGATGCATCTTCAACTCCACCAACCTGTACCCATATTACAAATATAATACTATTAGCAAGGGACATCTAAATTGAATTAGTATATGCTTCAAAATGATAATGAAAATTAATAGAAAGTTAAATAATGTATAAAAAAGTTCTATTTTAATTGTAGAAAAATCAATTCCACCAATCCCAGATGACCAAATTGTATTCACCTGTTTTTTGTTAAATAATATGGAGATAAAGTTCTATTATTTCTCGATAATTTCTTTATCGCTGTTTCATTCTTTATGCAGTCATATTCCTTCTGTTTTTATAAAGACAAAATTTAGTTGGAGTTTGGGTGTGTGTATAAACATTCACACAATTTTAAAAATTTGATGCGCATCCTCTCGTGTTTCCACATTTTTTAAAAGATAATCCTGTTTTTTAAAAGATAATGAAATTAATCATGTTTCCACAATTTTAAAAAATACCTAAACATTCACACGCATTTTTTAAAAGGTAATCCTGTTTAGGAAACAATGTAAAATTGGAGACCTTACAGACATGTTCGACGAATGCATGACTAGATACTAATTTAAGAGAAAATTACAAATTTAGCCAAATATATTAATTATTTTGTGGAAAATAGCAAAAAAATAACATAAATTACAAAATTAGCCCTTAAAATCGCTAATGGATTAAGTCCATCTACGGTTTCGCATTTCCATCTGCGAATGTACAAGTGTCTAAAGCACATCTGTACTTTAGGCACTTGTACGTTCGCAGATGGAACAGTCCATCTGCGATTTTGTGTATTCCATCTGTTATTTCGTAGAGATTTAGTATAAAAACGTTTTTTTTTTTTTCATTATATTTTTTAGAGAAACTCTCTCTCCCACCAGTTAGAAGCCAAACCAAATATTTATACATTTTTAGTGAGGTTTTAAACAAATTTTCCAAAGAAATAACAACAAAAATATAAAATTTTCTTGAAAAAATTTATATATAATAAGGTTGTTTCGTAGTTAAACACTATCAATTTCGTAGTTAAAAAAAAAAAAAAAACATAAAATCGCAGGTGAAAACGAGAGGAAATCGCAGATGGACGATTTTATGCTGGAAAATGAGTATATATACAGCGAAAAATAAAAAATAAAAAAATAAAAAACCACTTGCAAACGTACAAATGGCTAAAGCACAGACGTGCTTTAGCCACTTGTACGTTCGCATATGGGAAGGCGAAATCGCAGATGGCTTATACCCATCTGCGATTTTAGTGGCTACAAATGCAATTTTGATTTTTTTTGGCTATTTTCCACAAAGTATGTATTTGGCTAAATTTGCAATTTTCTCCTAATTTAATGGACAACTTAAATTTCATTTATGTAAAGTAATTTAATATAAAAGGAGTTGAAAAAGTTACCTGATGAAGAGGAAGAAAGGGTTGATCTTGACGAGGGTAGAGGTGATGTGGCTGGTACATGGCTATGAGTTTCTTTCGAAGCTTTTGTCTGTCACGAGCTTTGTGATTTTGAAACCAATAGAAGACATTTTTGCATTGTATGTTTCCGTAAGTGGATAGTCTTGTTGTGATTTGCTGTATCTGAGTTGCCGATGGAGTTTTCAGGCCGCCTCTATACATTCTTTCTAAAAACTTCAGCTGCTCCGGCGTTGGAGACCATCTGCTGCTTCCACCACCGCTGCCGCTTGTTACCCCCTTCACAGGGGCCAATGACATTTTTCACTGTTTTACTTATATGGCTCTTTGTATTCTCTTTTTGTTTTTTCTTAAAACGGAAAACACGTGTTCGTTTTAAGGAATATTGTCGACTAAAGTGATATTTATAGAGAGTTAATTTAATGCATGGGATGATATTTATAGAGAGTTAATTTAATGCGTGGGGATGACTTCATGATCTTCAGAGTTGCTTGTAGGGATGAGCAGCGGAACAGGGTACCCGCTTTCGGCACCGGAACCGCCTCGAAACTGCCGGTTCTGGAACTGGAACCGTCTTAAGTGGTTCTGGTTCCGGTTCCTAAAGTTTTGGAACCGTTTTAAGTGGTTCCGGTTCCGGTTCTCATTTTTTTGGAACCGATACCCGCTGGGTACCCGACAGAACCAGTTATATATATATATATATATATATATATATATATATATATATATATATATATATATATATATATATATATATATATATATATATATATATTCAAAACTTAAAAAGACAAATAACATATTACATTTACATTTTGATAGTCTGGACGATCGATATATAAAGTGAAAGTAAATTCATGATATATAAAACTTGTGTTTTGTCTAGTAAAACAGTAGCAACAATTTTGTCTGGTTTATTTTGCTTAACTTCAAAAACATGATTCTTATTTGAATTAATAGCTTCGTAAATAGATGTATATTTTTTAAACATAAAGATGCCTCCAACTTTTAAGCATATGTTTTTTTTTTTTTTTTTTTTGTGAAGACTGAAGCTAATTTTCCATAAATTATGCTTATATTAGTTTTTAATAGTTAATGGTTTGTAACGGTGGATTTCTAATGAAAAATGGTAAGAAAGCTTAAAACAACCGGGTACCTGGTACCGGAACCGGTTCCGGTTTCAAAATCTAAACAACCGTTATGACCGGTTCCGGTTCCTACAATTCAAGAACCGCCGGTTCCGGTTCCAGATAAATAGGGTGGGTACCCGCTTATGCTCACCCCTAGTTGCTTGCATGTATTTAATTTCTTGTCGGAAATGGAGTTAACCGGGTGCAGCCACGCAATTCGGTTTTTTTTTTTTTTTTTTTTTTTAGATGTGATATATTTTTATTTGATTAGCTTAAAATTTACATTTAAAACACGAAATATATATAACTTTTTTGAACGTTAAAAAATTGAAATATATATAACCTATGATAATTACCGATGAGTCGGAGATATATGTAATTGTTTATTTAATATATAATCAAATTTTTTAACATTAAACATAACAAGAATAGAGTATAAGAGAGGTGGGTATGGGCCACGCCACAAGGGGCGTTATTGGGTGTTATAACATGTGAACACCGCCCCCCTTACCCGTTATCAGACGTTATTAGTCTGCACGTTACTCCCCGTTACCACCATAACACGTTATAACGCCTTTTTTTTGTCTTTTCCTAATAACGCCGGTGTGGGCGTTGCCCACACCTACCGGTCTAAGTATTTTATGACGCTCACAATGATAACAACATTGTATTTGACAGTCTTTAGTTGATATTTATTACGTAAATATTTAATTATAATTTTGTCATATAAGTGTTTATTTATACTATAATCTTTATTATTTTTTGAAAAATGCTTGAACAAACCGAAGGCTTAAATGACAAAACAACTCTAACACCAAATGAAAAAAGAGTTGCTTTTGCTAAATTATTATATTGTTAAACGTATACGTATATTTGCCTAATTGTAGCGATTTTAGTAGATAACAAGTGCAATTTATAAATATAAAATGAATATATATATATATATATATATATATATATATATATATATATATATATATATATATATATATATATATATATATATAACTTTTTTTGGCGGCATTTTCGGGGAACAAGTTAATTTTAATTAATATTATCTACCATTAGTTTTCGATCTTTTTTGTGGATTAAATTCGCAGGAAGTTAAATTTCATTTTTCTGTTTACCACGTCGTGGGGGACATCACAACGTAAGCAACGACAAAACAATAGGGGACATCACAACCATGACCATGGAAGAATATAATCGGCGTATGAGAGATGATAATGGTCCGAGTCTCATTCCACCCGAAATTCCAGCTGAAACGAACATTGAAATCAAAGGACACGTCCTTAACATGCTCAAGGACATACCGTTCTATGGAAAAGTGCATGAGGATTTCTTTAAGCATATCAATGAAGTTCTAGAAATTCCAAACTATTTCAACACTCCCAACGTAACCAAAGATGTGGTGATGTTACGACTCCTTCCAATCACGCTTAAGGACAACGTAAAAGATTGGTTGAAATCATTCCCAACTGGAGCGATCATGATATAGGCTAAACTTAGAATTGAATTCATCCCTCCGTGGAAGATAGCAAGGCTTAAGAAGAACATCCATAATTTCCAACAACATGACGGGGATTCGCTATACAAAGCTTGAGAGCGCTACAAGGCATTGTTATGAAATTTCCCTTAACACAATTTAAATGCGCAACAAGAGATCACAACATTCTACAATGGAATAAATGTGAGAACAAGACAACTTCATGACTCTCAAGGGCCAATAACAAACAAAGCTCCGGCTACTAACAACACATTGATAGAAGAATTTGCAAAACATTCGAGAGAGTACCATAATCCGAGGGAAATATCACGGGAAGTAAAGCAATTGGAGAAGAAGCATCGAATAACTTGGGATCTATATTGGAAAATCTTGACACTATGGATAAAAGAATTACAAAGATGGGGTAATATATTCATGCAATTCAAGTTGGGTGCGACAATTACGGCGGTCCACATTTGACGAAAGATTACGACTTAGATGAAAATGAGAATCAAAAAGCTCAAGCTTGTTACTCAAGTGGTGAAAGATATGACGAAAATTGGAGGAAACCTAAGAAGGAGTGGAAAGCACACGCAGAATAAAAAAAGGAGAAAGAAGAGAAATATAGACTACAAGGTTGGGGATTCTATCAAAATGAGCAAGTGGGTCTCGAAAAGAAATCCAAATTTGAGGCGATGTTAACTCGATTTGCAGCGACTTCGGAGAAGAGACATGATGCAACCGACGCTACACTTAGACACTAGAAAACTGAAATCCTCAAAATCGAGCAACAAGTTGGGCAACTCTCAAGATTATTCCAAGAGCGTCTATGGGGAACACTTCCTAGCAACACAAAGACTAACCTAAAGGCTCGAATCAAGGCGGTAACGAACCGAAGCGGTAAAAATATTACCCGTTTAATTCCCTTAACTAACGATGAGTCGTCTAGTGTGTAGAAACCGAAGGAAGAAAATCAAGAAAATGATTTTGTCTAGTTCCCACGGTGTGGATATCTGAACTCCAGAACGTGGCATTCTCAGAATTCTAAGGAACAACCTCGTGTTAAAGCCTACAAACCACCTCTTCCATACTCGAGTTGTGCAAAGTAAGATAAGCAAGATAAAGATTACAAAAATTTCCTGTAGCACATTAAATTATTGCAAATCAACATGCCTTTCATTGAATTAGTTTCTCAAATGCCAAAGTGTGTGAAGTTCTTGAAAGATCTCCTCACGAACCAAAAGAAATTCGAGGAAGCCTCGAGCGTTATTTTAAACAAAAATTGTTCCTCTTACAAAAGGAGATGAGGGATCTGGGCAGCTTGACACTTCCGTGTCAATTCGGTAATCTTGAAAAAAGCCACGCACGTGCCGATTTTGGAGCGGGTGTGAATCTTATGAACTACTCATTCTACAAGAAGCTAAATCTTCCAGAGCCAAAACCAATATGAATGGTGATCCGCCTTGTTGATAAAACGGTCACACTTCGATGAGGAATTGAGAAGATTTATTAGTCAAAATTATCAAATTTGTGTTTCTGGCTGATTTTGTAGTGCTCGATATGGAAGAAGATAAGCAAGTAACGATAATTATTGGGAGACCATTCCTTAGCACCGCACGAGCCTTGGTAGATGTACGAGAGTCGAAGCTAACACTATGATTCGGAGATGAGGCCATTATATTTGGGGTTGATCAAGCAATAAAGCATTTTAAGATTAGTGATGATGCAGTTTTCTCGGTTGACTTTTTCGATGCATTTTGGAGAACAAGATGGAAGAATGGGAAGAGGAAAAATCAGAAGGTTTCATGACCTTAAAAGAAGATAATTTTGATATTAATCACGACTTTGAAGAGTTTGAATGAATAATGGAAGAAGGAGAATTCGAATATCAAAAGAATAAGCAATCCTAGTTCCTATGGTGTGGAGATGTACCTGCCGCAACATGGAAAGCAGAAGACTCCCGATTATCGAAATTCGAAGAACCTCCACGGCTTGGCACACTAGCCAACCATGTCGTGGACAATGAACTGCCTCCTCCTCTCGATTTGAAACCTTTACTTGCACATTAAGAGTATGCTTTTCTAGAGGATAACGAACAGAAGCCGATGATCATTGCATCAGACCTATTGCTAGAAGAAAAAAAGGTTTGGTCGGAGTTTTGAAGAATCGAAAAATGCAACTGCATGGAAGATTACCGACATCAAAGAAATAAATCCTTTTTATTGCTCCCATAAGATTATAACGGAAGAAAACGTGAAGCCATTCGTGCAATGTCATGCATGCGATAGCTGACATACTCTGATTATTGTCTGCTAGTGACTTATATTACCTTTGTAACATAAAAACTTTTTATCCAGGTATATGTCATACTTTACCAAGTCTATTTGGAAGAGTTGGAGGTGTGTCAGTGTAAGGTCAAACCTTATAATCTGATGAGTCAAGTACTAATGCACACTAACCATCACCTCCGGCACCAGCGCCAACGTTATCTTATGTACCTCGAAGCCAGTGTTATTATATTACCTTTTTTTATTATTTCTGTTTGTTCTATGTACTTACAGTAATGTTAGCTATTAGCTACCTGTTCATCAATCTTAGTGATTAGGATCAATTTATATATTTAGATTAGAATCAATCCCATTAATGTAGGGATTGATTGTTACTACTTCTACTATATATTTGTG